ACTGCACCATACTACTGCTTTTAAGCCAGCTAGCAGGATGTGTTTCTCAAGAAATGCAGTCCCTTGTCATCCATAGATGCCTTGTATGCCGTGGCAAGAAAATCTCAAACTCTTGTCAAATTTTGTTCAACTGCAATGCAGTTGAACTTGCCACCCCTGACCTTTGAGCAGTCCAATGAGGCAGTGAAGCTGAAAAAAATCAGTGTAATGAATGGAAACAGTGGGAAATAGTGAGCAGCTGTGAATACCCATAGTAACCAGGGAGAATTTTTAAAAACAGTGTAATCTCTTGCGGAGTGCTAGGGCTTGTCTACAGGGAAATTGACCAGCAAAGTAAGCTGTTCCACCATGGTGTGTGGTTCCCCCGCGCCCCCTCCCACCACCCCCCGGAATAGGGTCTCTATGTGGACTCTATTTTGGATTAAAACTGACTTAATTATGGAATAATTACTCCACTTAGTAATATTCTGAAATAAAAGTTACTCTTAGTCAAGAATAGAGGTTCAGAGAGAGAGCGTTATTCTAGAATATCTGTGCTGGTCAATTTCCTGTGCAGACAAGCCTTTCATGTGTGCCTGAAGTAGCTCATGCTCTTGGGTTTCATCTATCCTAGAAAAAGGAGTAGGAATTTTCCAGCATGGATAAAGTTGTATCAGTGCTGGTGTGAGCTCTGGTATAGAGAGGGCATAAACTTTATTTACCACCAGGCCATCAGACCCTGCAGATGCTGAAAAATGGCCACAAAGCCAGATTTTTCAAAGGTATTTAAAAATGCAGACAGGTGCCTAGTGAGGTTTTCAAAAGCACCTAATCATCTAACTCCCATTGTGTAAATACCTTTATAAATCTGGCCCAAATTTTCTGGTGTAGATGCTCTCTTGGAGAGGGGGGAGGTGTTGTATTTTTAACTTACTGCCTACTTCATAAAGTTGCATTGTTGGAACCTTTGAGTGGGCTAGAGTTTACTTCATTGCCCTTCTCCAGTAGCTAAAAACCCGCAACTCCCATAGAAAAGCACCTTGAGACCCAGAATTCAGTCATTGAAGGTTTTCAGCAAAGATTGCACAGGGTCAACTTCCCCACATTCAAGTCCAAAAGAACAAAAGGAATGAACTTAATTCTGAAGTTTATAAAACCTTATGATAAAGAAACAATAATAGCAATTTAACGTCTACAGCATAACATGGCTACTTTGTCAGCCAAATACAGTATCTTCAGTTATACATAAACATAAATAAAGAAAAAAAACAAAACCAAAATTAAATCTAAACAGGTCAGTCCCCACAGAAATACAGTGAGGAGAAACTCAGAGTTCCCAAAGGCTTTGGTTGAGTTCACCTGAGTCTGTCTTTGATCACCAGATCTATGCAGTCAGGTGAGTCAAAAGCAACATCTACCCTCCATTTTCAGCTGGAATCCATACAGATTCTTCCTCTTCCTCCTCCTCCTGCTGAAATCTCTCATTAGCTAGTCAGTGAACCAATTAACCAACCGCTCAGTTAAGTACATAGATTTTTTTTTTTTAAATCCTGCTGCAAAATGTTTGAGTTAGGGGAAAAACAGCCTGCTTTCTGCTCCTGAGGCTCAGCTTCTCTCAGCCCATACGGTGCACGTGGCCTTTTCCAAAGCAACTTGCCTTCAGAGATTGAGTCCAGTAACCAGACCCAAAACTACTACACCAATTCCAGAAACTTCCGAGTGTGGAGAGCTAATTGTTTTTTTGTTTTTCCAATATCTTATTACATTTATTCATTAGAGACTAAACATCCACTTCATTGTATAACTGCGTTGTTGTTTAACTGCTATATTTCACTGCTCTTACCAGATTTTAAACCAGAAATTTTGAAGATGGCGCTTGGCTTCTCATTGGTGACAAACCCCAAGAGTTGCCACACTGCCATCCCACTCTGGTCAGGAAAGCAGAATTAGACAGATCCTCCCATGCCCTCTGGAAATGGTTGATGTTTTCATAGTCAGGCAAGTCAAATACAAACTTATCCTGGGCCACCTGTTGTGCTTGTAGACCGCAGGATGACTATGAGTCGACAATGTGACGTGGCGGTAAAAAAAGCCAATGCGGTCTTGGGATGCATTAAGCGAGGG